TGTGTCATATATATATAGTTAAAGGAAACTTGACTGTAAGTCAGCAAGTAGGCTGTGTGTCAAACTATAGAATCAACCATAAGTCAGCAAGGAGGCTGTGTGTTGAGCTAAATAACCTATTAAATAGGAAACTCGGATTACATGCTTGCAATAGGATAAATAACTTTTTGCTCATAAATAATAATGATGCTATTAATTTAAAAAATTTGTTAAATCAAAAATTAACACCTGGATTTGCTTTGAGAAGTAAACAAAAATTTGGAAAAAAGGGTGGTAAAAGACTTGATTTAAAAGAATTAAAAGGAATGTTCCTGGCTGGTAATATTGAAAAAAACAAAAATTTCCACCTGAAGATATGTTAAAAAATCTTCAAGTGTGCACTGAAATAGAAACTGATAATATTCCTTCTCTCCAACAAATCAAGTCATGGATATCTAGGTTTAGTTCTTATCACAAAAAACAAGCAGCTGAAATTGTTAGTGCTATCTCTAATTCATTTTCTTAATGAACATAATAAAAATTATTATTTAATGAAAAAAATAATGCTTACCTTCAAGAGCAAAGTCTTTTATTTATCAATACAAGTAGTATTTCTGTTCATTAACCCCTTTTTTGAATAATCAAATATCAAAAGAATTATGACTTTTGGTAATGGGTGGAATTTCGAATAGTCTTAAACATTTCAAATAGTCATAAACATTTCAAATAATCAAATATTTCATATCACTTTTATTTTTTTATTAGAACGTCTAAAGCATTTTCTTTATTTATAAAAATTAATAAATGTTACACAGAAAAATCAGATTTTTTCAATACAAAAACTCAAAAAATCAACATATCATAAACAGAAAACTTTTTTCTTTACATAATTAATAGCAATAAAAAATACCTAAATATGTTCTCTGAGATTTATTTTATTTGTATGCACAAAAAAAAGTTATCTTGCAAGACAAAAGTATAGTAACTTTTTTTTATAAAAGGTTACCGATTAGTGTTTTTTGGTCAATTTTCCCCCACCGATCACTATATAACACTCACTGATTCATAGACGGATTGTCAATTAAGAGCCCTAAACAGAAATTTAATGATCTGCGATCTACATTACAAAACAATTATCAGTCATGTGACATGTCACACAACTATTATGAACAAGTTTAGTATTAGACACAAAACGCCTAATTAAAATACTATGGTATTGCAATTTCTTTTGGGAGA